TATAATTTAATCTCATAGTATAAATATGTTATAATTTTAAATAATTTCATTAACGATGTAAATATATAATATCAAAATAAAGTTATAAATCATTAATTACAAATAGAAGGTATTTTAATTAATATCAAATTATACCAGAAAAAAAATCATAAAATACCTTGTGGTTTCTTACCTATTTTAAAACAGTATAAATAATTACAATCGTATTACTTTTCAAGTTAATACTTTAAAATTTTAAAATAATAAACAAAAAATTATGTTATCTAATTTGGGTAATTAAGTAGTTGAGAACGTAATACAAATATTACTTATGTTATTTACATAAGTATACGTTTATTTTGTAACAAAATCATAATTTTCTTAAAGTATATTACAATAGTTTTGCGATAAGTATTAAAAATATTAATTAAAATCACCCCAAAGAAAAGTATCTTCAAACAAAGAATATAATTGTTATAGCCTATAGGTATAGTCTATATCGTTGGAATTTCAATTACAAAACCAACTCTGTAGCTTTAGATATATAGTATAATTATACCTACAATTATAATATATACTTATAAATCAGTCTATAATATATAAATATATTTAAAATTAAATTAAATTAATATAAAATTATGAAATATATGTAAATGTACATAAATACCAGGGTTTAAATTATTATCCTAACCTTACATTCATTATTTTCTTATGTGGTTGTCTATGTAAAAAAAAAAATATCAACATAGAATAAAATCCGTAATGTGGTCCGAAAACCATCCATACAGAAGCAGCAAGATATTTTTCATCCACCGTGAAAGAATGCTACTTTGTTAAGTAAAAAATAACTGCTGACTAACCGAAATTAAACAACGAACATACAAAACCGTGCGTGGAAAACAGATAACATGCACTGATGACTATTTCCCAGGAGAAAAAGAAAAATGTCCGTTTGATAACTTTTTTTTTTTTAATGGTTAAAAATATTCAAAGTATTTTATTCTAATTGGTTGTATATTATAGTTAAGAAGTTAGAACTCTTAAAACAAAGGTAAAATATTATCGACTGAACAGATTTTTAATTTATTATTATAATATTTTACGTTTCTTAATTAAACTGCTGACAAATAGTTTTCAATGAAATTTATTTAATTACCTTTATTTTTAATATTATATTAATCAATGAAACATTTTTTACAAATAGTTGTAATCAAAATTAAATTTTCTAATAGATTTAATAAAATATTATTAATTATAATTTCATCTTAAATTTTATTTCTGTTTTACACAGTTTTAATGAAATAGCTTAAGCTAGGCAGATGGTCATGGATACTTGTTAAAACTATCATTGAATGTGATAAACGTTTATAAATAATTTAGTTTATGCACCAATTGTTATACACAATATTTACCTACTTTACATTTCAAAAGTAATGCCTAATATATAGGAATATATTTATATGAACACACTATATAAAATATACCAACATTATACATCTAATAAATGAATCTTATAGCCACAGTATGTATTGAAGTACCTACCTATAGATAGTATATATATTCACAGTATAGATGAAGGATTACAAAGATAAAGGTGGGTATTATGTTAAAATGATTTCTTAAAGAATGCATTTGTGTGAAGATGCAAGTCCACGCCCTTGACGATGACCAATAGTCATGTGTGTAATGGTAGGGGGCTCGCTGTAATGAGCACGTGAGCCCGACACATTCGTCCTCGCATGAACGTGCCCCCGCGATTTACATATAACTGGTGACATTTTAACCTCAGCCAAGAGCATAATAATAAAACGCAACCATTTATGGAAACCTGGCAAACAGCATATAGGCTTTTGTGCGTTCTATGCTTCTTTGCCGGCCCGTTAATAAGCCGCAGGTCACCTCTGGGGCCTGGGGGTCTTTTGTTTTCAATGCTATCCGATTGTGTATTGGCTACTTGTATTACTCATGTATATGTATTCACAATAATAATAAAACCAACCGTTTTCAGCATTAAATACATTTGAAAAGAATAGTTCTTTACTGGCAAAGCAATAACCTTAGGAATTTTGGAATCAGTGCGGCTTGTATTATATAATAGTGTAACCAACTGAAAGAGAAATGTTTAACAAAACAAAGTGTTTACACTTAAGCAAAAATAATATTTAAAAACTGTCTATACATTACAATAACTGTACAAAATATTCAAAATTTTATGTATGAAAAATAATGTTGAATAGCTTTAGGAAAAATTCAAATAATATTACTTTAACTTCGTAAAATACAATCTAAAATATGTTTTACAATGCCATTAATAACTGGTATTTCAATAAATTATTATGGGTTTTACAATAGAATATTTAATAATTATGAAAGTATTTTATTTTAAATTGTATGTTTCTTAAATATAAGCTTAACATCAAAATAAAGACGTTAAGTATAAAAAAATAAACATAATACCCATAAGAATATTTTACAATATTTGAATACTACAGAGTACAGACCATTGATACTACAGCCACAGGTGTTAAAACGATTACCATAACAAATCCAAAGTTCTGATTTATGGTTCTAAATGAAATCGTCACCAATTGTGTATAAAAATACCTACAAAACGTACTAGGAAAGAAAACTCCGCAATATCTTCTCTAAATAAAAAAATATGAATGAATAGAGCCGGTACCACTTCTGTACTCCCAAAAATTCACAACAATAATAAATTATGTTTGTTGAATGGGAAAGGTACATTATGTATCTCCCTTTGAAAATATTTTTATTTGTATGTTTGACGGTGATGTTGCTTTCCTGCTTCTTTTTCCCTAACCTAATGACCGTCGATTATAGCCATTGTATAATGTATTACTATTATTCTTCACCTGGGTATTATGTGACCTTTTCAGTTACAACCGTCAAGCCTGTCAAGAACATCAACTCGCTAGTGCAGAGCAACCAATATAAAACAAAAATTATTTATTTATTCTCAAATTACTATTTTGTAACTTAATATTAAAATATAATATAATATATATTGTGTGTGTGTGTGTGTGTGTGTGTATAATGTTTATTTATTAATTAATTCTATGAGGGTCTCTATGTCTGTCTGTTGAATTTATCTCCACTCAACAAAAGTTTTGTATTTTATGGAATATACCGTTTATATCTTGTGTTTTTGTTTTGATATAATAATAAGCTAATAGATGATATTAAAAATAATATTTAACAATGGATAGATTTTTGAAACCATAAAAGTAAGTATAAAAAAAAAATTAAAAATATGACCCTTTAAAACTTAATAAAAAAATATGGGCATTCGTTTATAAATATATATATATGAAGAACATTGGTCATTAATGATGGCGATTTTCTAAATTTTGAAAATAATAGTGATTTTTATATGCTTACCTGGTTTAAATACAAAATGTTAAAAGAATTTTTTTAATATGAATAACTAATTATGAACTGAGGAAAATAATAAATTGGAAATAAAAATAGTTAACTTTTTTTCGTTTAAACGTGTAATTAGTGAAAATTTTTGTATTTTTTCATTGATTAAATATTCTATTGTTATTAAAAGAAACATATCCTTCCAACAAATATTACAATACGAATACATCAATAATTTTAATTAAAATTAATTACTATTATTTTTATATGCACACTAATTTAATTTTATTTATTTATTGGAAATCTACATTTAAACAATTATTAAACTTGATAAATAATTTGTATGTTAAATTTTTTTAGAGTTTAAACAGAAATATGAAATTGTTGATTTAACAACGATACATGTTTTTATATTGCGTTTCAAAATATTTTAAATATTTAAGTTAAGATTTATTGTATCTTTATGTTAAAAAATATTTGTATTAGGTAGGTATTTCTATTTAATAAATATTAGCGAACGACTAATTGTATATAAGGTAAAATGATTTCGAGTATTTTATAAAATTTAATGTTATGTGTACTTTAAAAATTTACTCCTATTGGTTATTACCACAAAAAAAAAAATGAATTATTATTATATATATATAGAAAATGTCATGTTTGTTTAGTAAAAAGAGTATTGTATAATAAGTATATAAGTACTTATATATTTTATTAAATAATTTAATTACCTATAACTTATTAAACTTGAAGAAACTAAAATGTTATTAACTATAAATAATTTATGGCTAAAATAAATATTGTCTTATACCTACAGTTGTATTTGTATACATAACTCAATAAATTGATACTTTTAGAAAACATTTTTAATTTCAGCATTTAACATAAACTAAAATCTAGAATATATTTATTTATTTATTTTTTAGCTCGTTTATTGGAGTTTAAAATCTGATAACACTAATAAAATTATAAATACTGACAAAAAATTTAACCAAGTGTTCTAATATCAAATATGTCTACGTCAGTTTTTTTCAATCTTCTGCCATAATTTTTTGATGAAAAAAAAAAGTTATCTGATTATTAAGTTAAACAATTATTGTAAAGCATAATAATGGAATTTACGTTATGTTGCAGCTCTTTCGTGTTAATTTAGAATTTGACACCAAATTTTGTTTCAAATATTACTGATAAGACCGTCACGCGAACAAAAATGTGAAATTTACGCATGAAAATTATAACATGTAACGCTAATAAACATATTTCAAATTTAAAAATTAACACGAACCGATTTACAAGCAAAACACTGTAAAACTCATAGATCCGAATCACGCACGATTTCCGTTTATAATAATTACCATCCCCGACCGTCCAAAATGTTAATGTCATTCGACGACAACTTCAATAACAAACGAGTTGGGAATATTTTGGCAGTTGAATGCGCTTGTCGATATTTTCGTCATAAAATTGTTGCTAACCTCAGCACCTCACATCAAACGACAATAGGCAACATATAATACACACGAGTAATGTTTTGGCCACCGCACGAAACTGCCGTCGTTAGAACCTCTTTGGCCATCATGGCGCGATGCCTTATCTCGTTTTGTTGTTGTTTGTAAAAAATTGATTACAGATGAAAAAAAGAAGTAGGAAAGTAATATAATGTTTCACAGTTATTTTTCAGTTTTCAATTTCATCTTGACGTTAATGTCGTTTGTAAGTTAATCTTTCGATTGAATTTAATTGTTAAAATATTGATTGCTGTTTTTACTCCATCGAATACATTTTTCGTTTGCGTTCATTGTTCGAATTATGTTGAAAACAGTATGTACATTTTGACGTTTAGAAAGTGTTGCTCATGTTTTTTATTTATTTCTAAAAACCTATCATAAACGATCAGTGTATTCAATTACAGTTTTGTCAACATTTATTTCCAGGTGTCGTAAATTTTCATCTGTAGTATCTGCATACCATGTATATCGATCAAACTATTAAAGAGTTATGAGTCAATTGTTATAAGATTTACATTTCAAATGTTGAAAGTAGTACAGATGGGCATTCAAGCTTTCATGGTGTTAGCCTCGAAGGTGTGGGCCTGCATATGCTTCCTAATAAAACGACAGATTAAAACTGTAAGTTATAAAATTCAAATATTTGTTCGTTCAGTAAATTATCACGATCATAGTTTTTTATATAAATTAAGTATTATGTTGTACCTATTTACTTTTATTATTAGAATATTTATTGTTGAAACTGTTGTTTAACTAAGTTATAAGTTTATTTAAGTAATAATTCTTTTAATACAATCTTATAAGTTACAATAAAATCTACATTATGTAAACGCTGATTGATTTTATTTTTATAAATATTTCCTATTTTACTAACAAATACATTCTCAAACTTTATAAAAAAATTGAAAACTGGTCATTTTTATTACAGGTACGCCAATATCAACCAGTTAAATATGGAGTGTTTCCTTTATTACCATTGTCCAGGCATAGAATAAGTAAGTTACAGACATAGTTTTATATAATATCTATAATTATAAGTTATTTATACAAAATCAAAAGTTTCTAAGGTTAATAAAATAATTTTTTCTTCCTATTTTAAACCATAGGTATGGTAAAACGGAAAGTTTTGGTGCTAGATTTAGATGAGACATTAATTCATTCACACCATGAAGGTGTCCTACGTCATCCGTCCAAACCAGAAATGCCACCAGATTTTATTTTAAAAGTTACCATTGAACGACATCCAGTAAGATTTTATGTTCATAAAAGGCCACATGTTGATTTTTTCTTAGATGTTGTAAGTTTTAAAAATACTTTATTGTGTATTTAGTATTTTTAAATATTAAATTTAATATTTTCCATATTAATAATCATAGGTTTCTAAATGGTATGAGCTGGTAGTATTCACAGCTAGTATGCAAATTTACGGTGCTGCAGTCGCTGATAAATTAGACAATCGAAGGGGAATATTAAGAAGGCGATTCTATAGACAACACTGCACACCTGAAATGGGTTCTTATACTAAAGATTTGACATCAGTTTCAAGTGATTTATCAAGAGTATTTATACTCGACAATTCACCAGCAGCATACAGAGCCTTTCCTGGTAATTTAAACAATTAAATTTATTTTTAAAAATGTTTATTAAATAATAATATTTTTATAATACTTTTTTTCAGATAATGCAATACCAATTAAATCATGGTTTTCAGATACTTCAGACACAGCATTGTTAAACCTCTTACCAATGTTGGATGCATTACGATTTACAGATGATGTACGTAGTGTATTAAGTAGAAATTTACACAATCATAATTTATGGCAATGATCTGTTCAATATAACCTGTTGAATTTCTTATTAAATAATATTTTGATTATTTAAATAATATAATGTGAATATACTAACTAACTTAACTGACTTAAAGCGCAAATATTTAATTTATATTAGTATAAAATGTAATAAATAATAAAAGAAGTGTGATACCTACTATTTCAACAGCAATACTTTCATTAATATTCATTTATTTATTTTATGTCCATGCGTTATGAAATAATATTTATATAATTTCAAACAAACTTGTTATTTTATAAAACATATTTAATTGAGTTTATAGACTGGCCAAGTTTATGTTGATTATTATTGTCTTTTTATTTCTACTAGGTAAATAAAAATAAAGTATCTATTTTAAGGTTCTAGTCGCTGTTATTTGTAATATGTACTTTACAATACTAATTTTAATAAATTAAATGAAGTATACAACATTTTATAACTTATAAATACTAATTTGTATGGTACCTAAAATTAATTAATTTTCATTTTTCACTAATATAAAAATTCATAAACTATAATCATGTGAAATGTGTTTTCACTTTATTTTAATCAAAATTATAGATTATATTTTAATTTCTACTCAAATTTATTGCTAATTATTGTTGATTAAATTGGTTGATTTCTCGAATTCTAATGCATATCTTTTAGTGTTAATATGAAAACATATTTTGTAAATGCACACCTTTAAAAATATTTTTTTTGTTGTTGATATTTAAAACCCTAGAAAAGTTATAACTTAAAAATTATAAGTCATTTTGTTAGTTTTTATATGAAAAGAAATAATTTAAGTTAACTTTTATTGTTTCAATATTATTTATTAACTGTAAATTTGTTGTCATTCATCAAATAACTTCCATACACAAGTATTAATAAAATAAAATTTAAATATTATACGTATTTAAATTTATTGTGGCACCTAGCCAATAAAAATTGAATATAACACTTTCTGAAAAATACAATTAAAAAAAAAAACTAACTGTTGAAATGAAAAACAATCTTACTTTATAATAATAAAATATGCGATTAATTATATATATGTATAAAATATTCAAAGTCATATTACATGTATGTAATTTAAACTTATTTACATTAAATTTACTATTTAGAGAATAGTAGTAATTAATTTATTATTTAGTTGTGTGCTTACTGTGTGTCTCCAACAATAGTTGTGAAATATTTTCTCTTAATGTGATAAATTATGTATAAACACACATGTAATTTATAATAAACACATCATTTTTAAAAGTATGTCCAAGAATTAATGTAATAATTGTCATTTAGTACTTAATTTAAAGTTTATGCCACAAAATTGTGATGTAAATATAGATTGTCTTATTTGATTTTTATAATTTATGTACATATGTTTGTATAAATTATAATATCCAAAGTTCTTTAAATACAATTTTGTGGTTAAAAAAAATTATTCATATTACATTTCCAATGTTTTAATTTATACAATATTCTGTATTAATGTTTTCCACATTATTGTCACCTGTTATCCATTTTTTTGTCTACTTAATATTTAAAATGTTTTGGACCATTTATTATTGTGATAACTGCAAAATATTTTTTTGTATGCAAGTTATTGAAATAGAGTATACAGTTAAATGAACTTTTTTAAATAATGTTTATCTGGTGATAATTTTGTTAACTATTAATCTGAAAATGAACAATCTAATACTGATAAAGTTATTGATATTTAATTTAAAAATCTACGTGCATTGTTTAATTAATAAAAATAAATAATTGTAAAGTTTTATAATTTTTGCAAACAAAAAGAATTTATTTAAAAAATAATAATTTGAGTTGTAATACACTTTAATGAAATTAATAACTTGGAAATATTTTTTTGTTAAATTTTGTTTATATTAAATCCACTGGGTATTTTTTAACATTAGCATTACATAAACATAAAAACTGTAACATGTCTTCAATGTAATACAAATTATGTGTTTATAATGAAATATAAATTTCATTTGTTAAAATGTTTTTAATTTTAGATTTTGAATGTAGAAAAGTTTCTTTGTGTTTTAAGATTGAGGCTGGATTTTAGGGTTTTTAGTACCAAATCAGTTTAGTAGTGGAGAGAAGGGTTCTTAATTAGGAATCTCTTAGTATGTACTTTTCTTAATATTTAGAAAAGAACTAATAAAATAAAAATATTATTTTTAATACCTAACATCTGAATAAATTTAACATTTATATGTCATAATTAGAGCACAAATTTTTAAAAAGTATCAAAATATACCATATAATAAGCAGTAAAAATCATAAAAATATGCAACAAATATGCAAGAAAATTTTTTTATTTATATAAAATTTACAAATTAAACAACATACAATAATTAATTAATTAAATAAACTAAGTATATAAAAATTGTTTGTTTTAACATGCAATATATTTTCGAATTCTGTAAAAATATATAGAAATGTATAAATAAAATTTCACCATTAGATTCAAATTCTTATGATTCTTGAAGATAACTGAAAAAAATGAAAAAGAAAATAATAAGCGATTGCATATAAATCTGTGCTATGGTTATAATTTAATGTCAACGAAATTATTTTTAATATTTTTACTTGACAAAATGTTATTTTACACAATTTTTTTTTTAAACTTTTGCTTTAATATCTATGCAATATATTTCAAATTCTATAGAAATATGCAAAAAAAAAAAATCACCATTAAATTCAAATTGTTATGGTGAAGATAACTGACAAAAAATAAAAGGGAAAAAAATATACAATTGCATAGAAATCTGCACTCTAGTCATAATATTATCTACTTCATACTTGGTATACTATACAACAGAGACACAGAGTAAGACAAGTAAGTTCTCCAGTTTTAATCATAGAAACTCATATGGTACATCGTATCATTTTTAAATCTTAGTAACTATTTTCCTACTCAAACAATCTGTTATTACTTTTAAAAAAAATGTGTTAATTCTAATTAATACTATTACAATCATAGATATAATTGTAGTACTAAAGTATACATTAAATTTGTCCAAGAAATAATTTTCAAATTATCAATACTACTGCAACTTTGAAATTAAAATCTTAGCGAACATAGTAATTACCTTCATTTAACCATTTAAACCTGATTAATGATTATACTTAAATATTTAATTGTTCTGAGTCATAGACAATTCAGCTATTATAACTAGTGATGGTGAGTCAACATGTAATTGTATGTACATAATAATTCTAAAAGATGTAAGCATCTTTAAGTATTTGTTAAAAATACCAAAGTAAGTATGAAATACAAAAGATTGCTGGTAGTTATTTTCACCACATAACTACCGAACAATTATTATTAAATGTTTAATACTTAAAAATTCAAACTGGCAATATTAGACTAGTAACAAAAAACTGACAATAAAGTAGATCTGCCTAGTATAAAATCCAGAAATTTATTTTACAATTGAATAAAAGCAATTGCAATTATTTAATATTTCTACTAGGTTCTACAATTATTACCTGTACTTGAGTACTTCAGTACTTGACATGGAGAGAATTTTGAAAACATATAATAACATAGAAATGTAATAAACTCTTTTGATGAAAAAAAGTCGATTTATTAAATGAAAACTAAAGAATATATTTTATTTTAATGATTGGTAAGTAACTTTGTAAGTGGTACAAAAAAAAAAGAAATTGTTATCTATATCTTAAACACTTTAATAATGTGGACTGCGGTATCGTATATATTTTGTTATTTTTCTTTTTCATTATCTTTTTAACTCACTGCAACTCGTAAATCATAAACTCTACGTAAAATATAAGACAAACGGATCAATTATGATAGAAAAAAAGGATATGGAGATTAAAAAATCAAAATCTACTAATTCAATGTTACTAAAGGAAGCTCTTAAATACCGTAAACTAAACCTCAAATAAGTTATGTATAATATAATTAAATAGACATTATTATAATTTATTTGAGGTGAAATAATTGTTTTTTTTTTTTAATTTTTTTATTTTAGCATGAATGACGTAAAGAAACTACACCTGAATTAAAGAGACGTAAAAAAGACGAGAAACGTATAATGTTAAATAACATTTTGAACTAATTAATTAGTACCCAGGTAATTATGTTATTGAAATATTTGTTGTTTTTTTTTCATGTATCACCTATATACATAGAAAATTTACGTTCGATCAACTACATATTGTGATTTATGTCATTAGTTTTAATATTAGAATTAATGGTCCTATTATTAAACTTGAAGAAAATAATATTATAGGTATAATACACTTTTGAGGTTTTTGTTGATATTTAATACTTAAATTGTAATATTTTTTATAAATATAACTCACTTTAAAATAAAATTATTAATAATAGCCTTAGAGTATGAGGGCCGAGGGGCTTTAAATAATATTCTTAGCTTTAACTTTTATAATAGTAGGTAAATTCACTGCAAATTAAAGGCAACAACACAAATTATTTGGTTCTACGTTCTACCAAATGTGCATTTTCTACGTTGTGTTTGAGAAAAAAAAAATAGTTTTCTGGCAATCTGGCATACTGTAAAATATGAATTTGTTTTATTAATAGAAGATGTAAAATCATCAACTGGTATTTGTCATGATAACATAGTACGTCAACATCAGTTTAAAGGCCTAGTAGAAAATTAGTATTTTTAATCTAGCAAATCAGTTATAATTAAAACAAAATAGGTAGGTATACGAGTATTTAATCACAGAATTTATAATTAGGTACAGAAAAAATCTCCTTATTCAAAATAATGGTCTAAACACTCTAAACGAACTGAATTACGTCATAAAAGATATTCCTTAAATATGTTTATAATTATAACAGTAATTAATTATTATTATTTATAGTCTTAAAGAAACGTAGACAGTTAATGGGTTTTGTTGATTGATACAAAAACAATTAGATGAAATAAAAACAATCAAAAACCATCGTTTAAATAGGTCTATGCATTATTAGTAAAAATTCATAGAAATGTAAATAAAAGAATGTATTAATATTTATATAGGTACTATTATTATTATTACTATTTTTGGCCACTAGATTTTATTCTTCATAATATAAATACTAAGAAAAAATGAAAAATAAATATTTGTTACCCACTAAGTAACTTAATATATTATAGTATATAGGTAGTTGACGTTTATTATTATAGTATTATATTTTCTAATCTATTTTGATTCAAAATTGTTTCTTAACA